TATCAATCTTCATGTAATAGATAATTATTTTGGATATATATTAAGAATTGAGATCATGTTCAATACATGTTCTTATTAAAAAATTTGAATGTTTCGGGTTCTATCCGATATCCATTTAATTTCGGGTTTGGTTCGGATAATATCCATAACCCGAAATGCCACAAAACAAGATCCATTTGGTATTTAACTCGGGTTCGGATCGGTTTGGATTCATTTTTATCGGATCGGGTTCGGTTCGGATTTTTGAGTCCGGTTTATTTGCCCAACGCTAATTCATGCCATTGGTCTTAATTCATATATGAGCTTGGTCAATAAAAATAAAAATAAAATCTAATCCATAATGAAAATAAATTTGAAGATAGTAATTTAGTTGTGGCCCATTTTAATTGTAAGTTTATAACCGAATAATTTAAACTATTAATTTCATTTAATTCTCTTCTCATTTTAATGTGTTTTTGAACTTAGTTTCATTATTATTTTTGTTTCTTTAAATAATATATTTGTTTTTTAAATTCTCAATTTTTTTTAACTTTATATAGAAAAGCTTTCACATTTTAGTGTTTACTTTGCCAACTAAGCGAAATAAAGTTACAATAAAAGAAAAACACAATCTCTTGGTTTATAAACACAATCTCTTGGTTTATAAGTAAAGACTAATCTTATTTAAACAAAACACATCAATGTCAATCCTAAATAACATATGAATCTATAATATAAAAACATAAAAATAAAATTTATCGCCCTTTCAAAAGTTAAAATAATATGATTATAAAAATAAACATCCGCGCAGGCGCGCAGATCAAAAGCTAGTAATTGGGTTAATAGTTAAAACTCATGTCTAATAAGAAGTTTGAAGATTATTTCAAGTTGCATTGGAAAGGATCTCCAAAATAATTCATTTAAAGGATTTGGTCTTTACTTTAGAGGATATATACGGATACAATTTCTTTTTGGAATTTAAAGCACCTACAATAGCCAATCACTAAATTTGTATAAAAACTATTACAAGAAAATTTGATCAATAAAATCAGCCCACGAAATCAAATTACCGGCCTGCAAACATTTGGTAGATAACTATTTGATGTAATAGAGACCGTAATTGTCCCACAAATGCCTCGGTTAAGGTGTTTGACAGTCACACATTTTTTTACAAACATTAGTTCATAAATTTGAATCCGATACTATGAACGTTTAACATTTATATTGCAACTTATAAAAATATTTTATTAGATTTTGATGCAGTTATAAGTTGGCTGGGTTGAGCTAATGGTGTAATTGTGATTATATCTAATGAATCTCAGTGATGGGAGTGGGTGTCTCTAAATAATTCTTTATAAGCCTTCTCCAAAACCATGACATCTTTATAATTGCTGTATTTTTGTAGGCCAAACAAAAATGTATGTAATAGTTTAGTTGATTTTTGATGACTACCACAAGTCAATTCATCATCTGAAAGAATGAAAAAAAAAAATCATGTGGTCGAGTGGTTAGTGCTTGTACTACTGAATGTATCAAATTCCACGTTTCACATCTCAGAATATATATTCAAGGATTTTTTTGAAACACTTATTATTATTCAAGTTTCTTAGTGTTATTTATCGAAAAAATGTTTCTTGGTGTTTTTTGTTCATTTCATCGTGTGCATCTGTATGTCAAATTCAGACATCACATAAAATAAATTGAGTAAAAATATCCAACTACACTAAGTACAAAGAATACTAGATCTTCGAGCCACTATGCAAATTCAAAACTATAAAGGTTAGGCTGGCATATTATCAATTTTATCACAATTTTAAAATTATGTCATGTTTTATAAACATTCTAGTTAAAAAAAAAAGATAGTCGCATATTCTATTTAATGTTAAAAATGAGAAGTTAAACTTGAGAAATCTTTTAGGATTAAAATCGCAGTACTTAATTCACTGTCAGATCTGAAAAATCATCGTTTGGCACTAAATTATGAAATCACATTTAGGTATCAAAACACTGTGAACTTTTATCTTTCTGTCAAATTGACTAGTCCATTTTTCTCAACAAAAAGAAAATCCACTTAACATTTATAGAATTTTTTTTTACAAAATTTGCTAAAAACAACTTGGACTATCCTTCAAAAATATGAAGTTAGTTGTGGCACTAAATTGTGAAATTTTGTTTTGATACTCAATTTTAGAATCTATTTTCACTGAATTTATTAAAAAAAAAAAAACAGAATTTTAGTAACAAAACAATATGAAATTGTGTTTTCAATTCCTGCAAATTTTTTGAAATTACATTTTTCTTAATTATATTTATTTTAAATGAAATGAGGAATCATAATTCTTGTAAAATAAATAATTTTTGCTGTTAAACTGAAGTGAACTGAAGACCAATTCCAAAAACATTACTTTCAAACTTTAGTTTCGAAAACATTATTTTCAAACACATTCTGTAGTGAACTGAAGACCAATTCCAAAAACATTATTTTCAAACACATTCTGTAGTGAACTGAAGACCAATTCTAAAATCATTATTTAAAAACTTTAGTTTCGAAAACATTATTACAAACTTCCAAGGAAAACTAGAGATTTCAAACTATTGCAACTAATTTTTTGGTATGGCCACGTTTTTCCCTCTTCTCCTAGTTGTTAAAACTAAGTAACTAAAAAATGATTTTGTCACATTTTCCTTATTTCTCAATGGTTCTAACAAATTCCAAAACATGTTAGCTCTTTTGTCAAACCCAGCCTTCGTTTGTTTTATAGGGAGAATATTCAATTTTCTTTAAACTGAAATAGTTTGTGAGATATTATCCATGTTTCAGAAATGTCATTTTAACATTTTTTTCTTCTTACAACAAAGAGTGTTAAACCTTTTAAAAATTAAAATATATTTTAAAGAGATTTGTTAATAGTATATATTTTTATTATTTTGACTAATATTTAAGAAAAAAAGAAATTATTTATTTTAAATTACATTTAACAATATATATGTAATTTATTTAAAATTGGAATCTTATAAAAAAATTTCTATTTATTTTGGTTAAATGTATTAAATCAATTTGTATAAAACTACTAAGAAAATTCATATAAAATTGTATAGTTATTAAAAATTACAAACAATAATTATAAAATTTGCCGATATCTTAACACTAAACCCTAAACTCTAATCCTAAACCCTAAATATATTTTAACCCTAAACTCTAATCATTTAAAGAAAATATTTTAACACTAAACCCTAAACTCTAATCCTAAACCCTAAATCCCTTGGTAAATCATAAACCTTTGGATAAATCTTATAGTGTATTAAAAATTTAGTGTTTATGATTTATCCAAGGATTAAGGGTTTAGGATTAGAGTTTAGGGTTTAGTGTTTATGATTTACCCAAGGGTTTAGGGTTTAGGATTATAACTTAGGGTTTAGTGCTTTAGTGTTAAAATAATTTTCTTAAAGAATTTTTTTATAAAAGTTATCCAAAAGTTTATGATTTATCCCAAGGTTTAGGGTTTATGATTAGAGTTTAGGGTTTAGTGTTAAAACTTTTTTTAATTTTTTTTGTTTTTATTAATTATTGTTATTTTTTATTTTTTTGTATTTTTATTTTTAAAAACATAATATAATTTAACAAGATTTTGTTTCCTTTTTAAAAAGATATCAAATATGAAATAATGTAATCTTATTGGATGGTGAACCTAGAAGTTCATCATATGGAATGAACCCAAGAATATCTCCTTGGTTTTTACTTTGTAATTAGATGAATCAGAAATTTAAGACAGCAAAGATCTCTGTAAAGTATAACCTCAACGTGAAAGCTTGCCATATATATACTTATAAATTTTTACACACAAACAAGTAGTTTATATTCATATACAAGAAGCAAATGATTGTGATATAAAATAACAATTCTTATAAGATCTTATGTTTATTCTTCTTTTATGTATGCACAAATCACATACATTATTGTTTTCACATACATTGTTTTAGCTAGCTAAAAGTCTTCTCAGTTGGTTTAGGAATCAACCTTGTAAGAATAGATTATCTTGTCCATGCAATCTCGTCCACGTAATTCCATCCACACAATCTCGTCCACGAATTGTTATCCATGAAAATTCTTTGATGAACCTTAAAAATTACCTAACCTATGACTTATTTATATATATATATATATATATATATATATATATATATATATTTGCTATCCACATCTCTTCATAAAATAGATAAAATAGATGGTCATCTATAAAACTTTGTCTACAAGCATCCATCCACAAAATCTTTTTTAAACTACATATCTTATCCACCAAAAAATATACATATACATCACAAAATATGTATTTTCATCCACAAGATCACGTCCACAACAGACAGTTCTCAACATACACTTACTAACAAACCTACACATCACGAACACGCTTATGTTCTTTTTGCCTATCAAAACATATATCCACATAAAAATTGTCCACTATGTTAAAAACTAAAGCTAACTGTTTTGAAACAATAGAGGAGCTTTCGATTTTCACAGCTTTTGTTTTCTCAAAATTAATTACACTCACCAACTTTTCTTTTAACCGTTAGATATATTTTTATTATAGCAAAATCTAAAAACTCTAAACAGTTCACTTTAACCAACACACCAATAAAAAATATAAAAAAATATTACAACCAACTCTCAAACCAAGTTAAATAAATCGTTGCTTTCTTATAATCAACTAAGGTCATTATAGTCTCAAACATGCTGAGCCGTACAATTAAAGTGCTCTAAAATCAAAATGTGTCTTCAAACGTAAAAACAACATGAAATGTGTCTTTTTAGGTAACGTTCTCAAGAAACAAGCACGTGTTTTGTTTGATCTAAAGTTTCAACGTAACTTAAAAATGAACACACGCCTGTGGAGACGGCGCTGAAAGCAAACTTAATATACACACTGACAGAACCCTATATAAGCATAACCTCTCCTTCCCTTCTTCTTCATCAATTCCTTCACCATTGTCTTTAGATAAAGAGAGAGAGAGAGAAACACAAAATGGTGAAGTTTGAGAGGGTTCCTTTGCTGTTGGGGTTAGTTCTGGTTCTAACTCTGGTCGGAGCTCCGACCAAAGCCGATGGACCTGTTTGTCGTCACGCTGAGAAATTTAGCAGAGCTAGCTTTCCTGAAGGATTCCTTTGGGGAACTGCAACAGCAGCATTTCAGGTCCATCTTTTACATTTCTTTCAAAAGAATATGCATTTTTCCACATATTTAACAATATTAAGTTTTGGTAATACATATGCATCGTATCCACTTCTCGTAATTTAAAACCAAGGATTGTTTTTTATTTTTTTTTAATATAAGAATTTACCACATATTAACTAACAGAAATTGCATAGAAAATGTCAAACATGTATTTTGTTGAAACACACAATTATTTTAATATTTTTACTAGATTTTGACCCGCGCAACCGCGCGGGTGTTTGTTTTTGTTTATAGTTATATAAACATTTTGTTTTCACTTGTAAATTAGTATATATTATAGTAATCACATATTTACGATATGTATAGTAAATGTTTTTCAAACATAATAATATTATATAATAAATGTTTTAATCAAATAGATTGTTTCAAATTTTCTATATTATACATGACTTTCAAACATGTGTTTGTTTCTTCTTCTATATTTTATTGTTTGTTAGATTAGTATTTCATTTTTAGATAAAGTAATATAAATAGAGCTTGATTAAATATTAGTGNTAATATTATATAATAAATGTTTTAATCAAATAGATTGTTTCAAATTTTCTATATTATACATGACTTTCAAACATGTGTTTGTTTCTTCTTCTATATTTTATTGTTTGTTAGATTAGTATTTCATTTTTAGATAAAGTAATATAAATAGAGCTTGATTAAATATTAGTGTAATTTAATTTGCAAATATAATATAAACTTCGAAGAAATTTTTGCTAAAAACTAAACTTATAGCTTCATAAATTAATATTATAAAAAGTTTATTAAAAAGGAATTTTTTAAACATTTTTTTTTTTAAACAATACAATTTTAAAAATTTTCATCGAAATAAATTTATCTAATATATATAACGTGTAAATTTTGTTAAGGTATATAAATATTACATATTAATAATCTGTGATTTTTGTTAATATATTCTGGATGCATTTAACTATTATTGACATATTTCCTTATAAATAATAGAAGATTCCTAAATTTATATCTATTGACATATTTTGCGCGACTAAGTTGGAAGGTGTGAGGTAATTTACCAAAACAAAATTGTTAAGCATATTATAAGATATAATAATGATAATATTATTAGAGAGTTAATGTAACATAACTTTCTAGTAATAGTCCATTTTTAAAAAAATCACACATGAAATCAAGTCATGACTTCTGTTTTAATATATAAGATATTTTGAAATAACGGAGTATGTGTTATGTTTTCTTTTCCGTTTTAAATATATGGTTATTAATTTCTTTGTTATTATGTTGAAATATAGGTTGAAGGAGCTGTTGATGAAGGTTGCAGAGGTCCAAGCATGTGGGACACTTTCACTAAGAAATACCCAGGTACGTATATTTTTTCTCCTCGTTATATGGATATGTAAATGTTTATATAATTTGAACACATTTAATTTAAAGAGAATGTTGAAAATGAAACAAATATCCAGCTAGATGTGAAAATCATAGTGCTGATGTCGCTGTTGATTTCTACCATCGTTACAAGGTGATACATTATCATCTCTTCTTCCCTTCTTATGCTTTAAATAACTTTTTGATGGTTAATATTTAGCTAATAAAATGAATTTCAACAGGAAGACATTAAGTTAATGAGAGACCTCAACACTGATGCTTTCAGACTTTCTATTGCGTGGCCTAGAATTTTCCCCCGTAAGTTTTTCTTCAATGAATTAATATGTTTGTGGTTGTTATCGTTACAAATGGTTAAAAGTATAACAGATGGAAGAATGTCTAAGGGGATAAGCAAACAAGGAGTCCAATTTTACCACGACCTCATCGATGAGCTTCTCAAAAACAGTAATCTTTTCACTTACAAACACAACATTAAAGAAAAATAATATTTGTGTTTTAAAACAAATTATTTAATTAGTTAACTCTTACAGTCATTTGTTTTGTTTTTGGAAATTTAGAGATAACTCCACTAGTAACAGTCTTTCACTGGGATACTCCTCAAGACTTAGAAGATGAATACGGTGGTTTCTTGAGTGGTAACATTGTGTAAGTTTTTGTTTCATGTATATAAACAGATTTTCTTGATAATTATATAAATAACTTTGTGGTTCTAACAACTCAATAACTATATATTATTAATAAATACAGGAAGGATTTTACGGAGTATGCAAACTTTACTTTCCACGAATACGGAGACAAAGTGAAAAACTGGATCACATTCAATGAGCCATGGGTGTTTAGTCGTGCCGGTTACGACATCGGTAAAAAAGCTCCGGGACGTTGTTCACCGTACATCGGAGATAAATGTGAAGATGGACGGTCAGGATTCGAAGCTTATCAAGTCAGTCACAACTTGCTCTTAGCTCATGCTTATTCCGTTAAAGCCTTCAGAGAGTGCAAACAGGTTTATCTTAAACTACACGATTCTCATCTGTTTTTTTCTTAGGTTTTAAAAAATCATTTATAAACATTATTCCAAAAACTTAACTTTTATTTTTGTCCAAATTTATAGTGTGCTGGAGGTAAAATTGGAATTGCACACAGTCCAGCATGGGTCGAACCAGCCGACCTTCATGATGCTGGAACCAGCATTGATCGTCTGCTTGATTTCATGCTTGGATGGTAAAATAATACTCTTAACAATATAAATTCACACTAGCTAAATTCTAATAAAACTTACGTGATCCAGGCATTTGCATCCAACAACTTACGGAGATTATCCACAGACGATGAAGGATCGCATTGGTCATAGATTGCCAAAGTTCTCAGAAGCTGAAAAGAAAATGCTAAAAAATTCTGCAGATTTTGTTGGAATGAATTATTATACTTCACAGTTTGCAGTTAATGTGAAGACCGAAAATATGAAGGAGGTAAGTTGGACGGCGGATTCTCTTGTTCACTTGGAAAGTAAGTACTCAAATTTTTTCTTATTAAGTTTTCAAATTATCTTTATTGCTCTAATTAATATTGATAGCCTTGCTTAATTAACCAGCCAAGAATGTGGATAAATACGAGATTGGTAGCCAGGTAAATGAATTATTCTTTTTATTATTAATATATATATATATCACTTACTTTTCTTTACAAGTACTTTAGATCATCTTTAATTGAGATTCTTAGTTTCGGCTAAAAGACGGTTTTTAGTTTTTCTTAAATTATTTTTAAAATAAGAAATATTAGAACCGTCTCTTAATTGAAAAGTGTTAAAAAAGAATTGTCAAATCATAAATTAAGAATCCCAACTAAAAGAACGAGGTTAATCATGCCTTTATAAGTTTATGATATTAATATTATTTCTATTAGCCTGCTGGTGGTAAACTGCCTGTGTATGCAAGAGGAATGAGAGAGCTTTTGAAGTATATCAAGAACAATTATGGAGACCCAGAAATTATGATCACGGAGAATGGTTAGAGAAAAATGTTCAAAACTCATTTACAAAAATCTGTTTCCATTATATCAAAAAACTCGATATTTGATCGTTTTTTCTCTCTTTAAGGTTATGGAGAGAACCTTGGTGACAATCAAAACAATGTAGAAGCCGGGACAAATGATTACAACAGGAAGTATTATCTTCAGAGGCATCTCTTGAGTTTATACGAAGCCATTTGGTAAGCAAAAATATTCAACTCAAACAGAAAACTAATCAAAACACTGTATAATGAATAAATAATCGAATGAATATGATTGTTTTCTGTAGCGAAGACAAGGTGAACGTTACGGGATATTACGTGTGGTCTTTGATGGACAACTTTGAGTGGCAAGATGGATACAAGGCGAGGTTCGGGCTTTACTACATCGATTTCCTCAACAATTTGACTCGTCACCAGAAAATTTCGGGCAAATGGTATTCCGATTTCCTTAAGCCTGGATTCCCAACTTCCAAGATCGTGAGGGAAGAACTCTAGATCAAGAATCCATATCCTGCATCCTCCGAAAAATAAAATGCATTGCGAGAGATCTATTCTTGAGGAATAATATCATTTTGTGTGTTCTACGGATCATGTTTATCGTTTTTTATATCTGGGATCTCTTTCGATGTTAGCCAGACTTAAGTATGAGTTGTTAAAGTTGTCATTGTATTAATAAAATGTTTTTAGCAAAAAATAAATAAATAAAATAAGAAATTGTTGCTTACGTCAACATAATTGACAATTACATGTTGTTAAAACAACATTATAAATCTGCAGGAAATGCTTGAACGAAAATAATTGATAACATATCTCTATAATATTATTTGAGAAGTCACTTTCTTATATGTCGCGCTCACGTTAACTTTTACGCTGATTGATTACTATGATATCCCTAATGAATTAAAAAAATACATTTAAATATAATTATTTCGCTTTACAAATAACAATATAAAATAAAAATTAAAAAATTATAAAGTTTACAAAACTATTTAAAAACGAAAATATAAGTATATCCTTTTAAAAAATTTCCAAATAACAATATAAAATAAAAAAGGAAACATTTATAAAGTTTAAAAAACTATTTAAAACGAAAATATAAGTATATACAAATATGGTTTCATAAAAAAAAGGAAAGTTCACAAAATAGCAATATTTAATTTAAATATATTTTAAATAACATAAAATATACTTTTCAAGTAATACAATACTTTATATCTATATCTTCTTAGATAAAAAAATTATATTTGTATATAATGTGATTCCATAAAAAAAAGTACACACAATTAATCTTGATATTAGAAAAAGAAATATTTTTTTCGTTTAAATTTTTTTTTTAACAATAAATATATATATTTTCAAAGTAATTTTTTTTGTATATATCTACCTATTTTATTAGATGATTTCATAAAATAATTAAGTAACATAAACTGATATAGGTTTAATTGACAAATTATTTTATAATTAGTCTTGAATTTTTTTTTTTTTCATTTTAGTATATTTATTTGACTATAATATCTTATAATTACATTAAAAAATATAAATTCTATTTTACTTATATAACATAATTTCTCCAAAACAATAACATCTTTTACTGCATATTAAGAGATATTAAAAAAAACATAAAATAAATTTTAATAATAAACACTTTTTGATCAAATAACTAAAATTATTTTAAAATATCATAACACTATATAATTTAACGAAATAGATTTACTATATTTTAATAGTTAAAATTATATGTTTTCTTAATTAATCTTTTGATTTTTAATTTTCTGCTTCTATGTTTGTGCAAGTTAATATAACCATAATCAAAACACTTAAGCAATCAGAATCCTTATTTTAAAAAAATTTTAAACTAAATTTCAGCTTACCATCCAATCAATCTAAATATTTTAAATATTGCTATGTGTTCATAAGCTTCCAAAAATTTATTAGTTACTTATGTATGTAATTTAGAACCAGACAGTTTATTTTTTATTTTTTTCTTTCTAAGCACAAAAAATCTTAAGTTATACATAATCTTACTAGATATACTTATATTTCTAAGATAACAATCGGCATAAATGCAAATCAGACAATTAATCAAAAATTTGATATATTTAAAATAAAAAAATTATAGTTGAATTCAGATAAATAGATAGAATCTAATATATCCAAATGATAACTAAATCAATCGCAAAAAAAATTAAACCGACGAACTATAACATTTCTAAAATTATATATATAATTAAATTAAAAAATTAATATAATATTATTAATATAAATTATACCTACGATTATAAATTAATTTAAAATTTAAAGTAAATATCAATCAATTATAATAATATATTTATTTTCTAAATATTTATATCCGTGCATGAGCACGGGAAAATCACCTAGTATATATATATATATATATATATATATATAAGATATTTTCATTTTCAAGAACTACTGTATATATATATATATATATATATATATATATCAATTTACTAATACTATATAAGTTGGGAAATGTACATTAATATTTTATTTCATTCATACTATAAAGTTGACAAAAATGCAAAAACTCTAATAGTAAAATGTGAGATTTTAAATGATATGTATTAAAATTATCAATTTCCTCTATTTAAACATGATAATTATAAGAGATTATAGTGTTATTAACCTTGATATTTTAAAATATACCGTCATTTGAGAATATTATAAATAATAAACTTTAAGAAATTTCTTGTAATATTATGTCTTGGTGGGATTTCTTAATAAAATATAATTATTAAAATTCTTACAACCTCTTCATCTAAAATTAAGTTCACTACAAATCAAAACTTTATAATTATATTGTCGAATATGTCTTAGATGTTTTATTAGTCTTATTGACGGTCTAACTATTCTATTTCTATATACTGCTCCCTTCCATTTTAATATAAGACATATTTTAGTTTTTTCACACATATTAATAAAATACATAATAAATATATAGGTTTTTTTGAAATGATCATTTTCCTATAAATCTAAATAATGAAAATCCAATAAGTACAATTAAATTTTTTGGAAGTTATAATTAATTATTATTATTTAATAAAATATACCTTAAAAATCTTAAAAATGAATTTTTTTGAAATTATTTTTTTTCTTAAACATGTAACATTATGAAAGGAAGGAATAGTTTAAGTTATACCACATATCCCTGAGTCTCAAATATTTTTTTATCGTGAATTTTTATACAATCAATAGGACACGTTGTTATGGCGACTTAGTTTTTAGTATGTAAAAGTAGGTGTTTTTTTGCTGTAAATAGTTTTTATATCATAAATCAAAATTTTGATATAATTCTATATTTATTGTATTATATTTGTATTAAACGATTTATCAATTTGAAAATAACTTTAATTAAGTTAATATTCGTTGTTTAAGTTTCATTAGATAGGTTTTTATATATGGTTTTTTGTAAGTTTGAGTTTTGTTCATAAATGATGTGGCATTTTTATCTACGGCGTCATCGACCGTGGGAATTCATTCGCCGGAGTCTGGAATCGGTGGTGAGGAATGTTTTCAATTAAATTATAGTAGTTATTAAAATGTAAGAGAAATTACATATTCATTTAATAAATAATGAAAATAATTAATTTTTGTTGTTTTTTATTTTATCTCACATACAAATTTTTTGAAAATATATATTAGGAAATATGTGCAATGATTTAACTTTTTGAGCTCTTAATCTATATTATTCAAGCCTCATTAAGCCATCCAATAGGCAGCTACGTGGAATTTTTTTTTTTTTCTGTTCATTTTTGGATTTATTTTTTATTATTTTTGAGTTGAACTATATTATAATAGGATAGTTTTAAGGTTCTTTAAGCCATCCGCGTAGGTAACCGTGTGAGACTTTTTTTTTTATTGTTCATTTTGGATTCATTTTTAACTATTTTGGGTTCGAACATGTTAAGATTTAGGGTTTTATCTAACTATTTTGATCTTTAAAACAATAAGCCCAAAAAAACATAAAAACCTTATAAACAAAAAGCCCATATGATAATAATCCAAATAAAAAAAAATCAAAAATACATGCTAGCTATGTGGTTTGAACCCACAATCTTGCATACTTAATTAAATACCTTATACCACTTGGCTAAAGTGTATTTCATTATCATCTTACAAAGACTATGGATGTCTAAAAAATAGCTATGTGACCCACAAAACTGCTGACGTGGCGCGCTGTGTAGCCTAAAAAGTGTACTATTATAATATAGATTTGTGAGGATAATCATTGCGGGACATTACGATACAATTACTGTGCTTTGATTCCTTTTCATTCTGAATGCATTAGACCATCTCGAATAAAGTTTTAAATAGTCATATGTGCGTATATATACATTGTATATACATATATAACTATGGAACTACAAAATAGTGTAGAATTCTGTTTTGAAAATTCTAAAAAAAATATTTTTGGAACTTTTAAAGGGGAGTTTTACACTATTTTGTAGGCCTCATTGTAGGATATATATGGAAATATGACTATGTAAATATCTTGTGTAGAAAGCCCTACGTGTAACTACTATATATTGTGTACCAATTCATTATAATGAGATCATCCAGTCATAACTCTTATATGGTATCAGAGCAACGATACCTAAAACTTTAGCCGCCACCAAAATTTTTTTTTTCTATCGTCTTCTTCAAAACTCATGGCTAACTCTCCTGCATCTGAGACAATCAACGTCTCTGAAAATCAATCCATCCTCAACGTTAACATGCATAATGTTACGAAATTGACTTCCACTAATTATATTATGTGGAATCGACAAGTCCTTGCCCTATTTGATGGGTATGATCTCTCTGGACATCTTGATGGCTCCGTCATCGTTCCTCCCCCGACGCTCACTACTGATGGCCAGATCGTCGCGAATCCGGCGTATCTCGTCTGGAAGAGACAAGATCGTCTCATCTACTCAGCATTACTTGGCGCGATAACAACGTCCCTACAGCCGCTTCTCTCTGCAGCCAACACAGCGTCTGACATATGGACAACCTTGCAGTCCACGTATGCGAAACCTAGTCGCGCTCATTTCAAGCAACTCAAACAACAACTCAAAGTTTGGAAGAAAGAGTCCAAAACAATTGATGAGTATGTTCAAGGTTTGATCACACGCTTCGATCAGATTGCTCTGCTTGGAAAGCCCCTAGATCACGAGGACCAAATTCGAATATGTAATTGAAGGGCTTCCAGAAGAGTACAAACCAGTGGTTGACCAGATCGAGAGTCGTGATACTCCTCCTACCATCATAGAGATACATGAACGACTCTTGAATCACGAGGTTAAACTGCAGACTCAACTCACGGTGACCTCTCCAGCACCGATCTCAGCTAATCTTGCGGCCAATAACCAAAGTCGCAACAACTACCGAAACAACACTCGCAATGGAGGCAAAAACAACAACAACCGAGGCCCCCACCGCAACTCTCAAACCTGGCAGCAGCAACAGAGTTTTTCTCAACCTCAACAGGG